GCATGGGTGGACATTGCCCACTTTGTGCTTTCCAAATTACTAATGAATTGTACAGGGAAGTGCAGCCTTTGAGTTAGCAGTGCATCCCCCCCGAGGAATAAACCACCAAAGCTCATTCCCAAGCTCCACTGGATAATTAAAATAAAAAAATGTTTTTATATTTATATGTTGTTTTTGTTATGTGCCATCGAGTTGCCTGTGACCCATGGCAACCCTATGTACAGCAGCTCTCAACACTTCCCTTACCTGAGCCATTCTCACCGGTCTCCTACACACCTGCCCTCATTACCTCAGTTACTATATCAATCCATCTCATCCAGGATCTTCCTCTTCTTTGCTCTTCCTCCAACATTCCAAACATCGTGTCTTTCTCCGTGTGGTCTCTTCTGGCCACATGCCCAAAGTATGTGAGATGGAGCTTCAAAATCCTAGCCTCCAAGGAGAAACTTGGTTTCACCCTCTCCAAGACAGACCTATTGGTTTTTTTGGAGGTCTATGGTATGTTCAAAACTCTTATTCAGCACCACAACTCAAAGTTATTGATTCTTCTTCTGTCATCCTTAGAAATTTTATATATATATGTGTGTATGCATAGATATATGTGTGTATAGCTATATATGTGTGTGTATAGATATATGTGTGTGTGTGTGTATAGATAAATGTGTGTGTGTATAGTTGTTATAGTTTTATAGTTATAGTTAGAGATACCACCAAAATTCCCTACCAAGCTACACTGGAAAAGTAAAATAACAAATGTTCGTGTGTGTGTGTGTGTGTGTGTGTGTGTGTGTGTGTATTTGAACATAATAAGCAATAAAATAAATGCTTGCTTGTCTATATTTTCCCCAAGAAACAGCCTTTAGGGCTTTTAAGGATATCTCAGTGTTTAGGATCAATATATTTATGTGAGTATCTATAAAGATTGGAAGGAGGAGTGGCATCCACTTCCGTAATAGCTTGCCTCCAGAAACCCTATGAACCTGAAGAGAGGATGAAAGGCACCCAAGCGTCGAGGACTCTCCTTCATAGGGTCACTATGAGTCGCCTGCAACTCGACGGCACTTAACAACAATAACAACACCTATCAAGAAGGAATCCTGGTCTTCAAAGGCCATCTTGGGGGAGCATTATCTATGGAAGGATGTAAGGATCCATATGAAACCACTCACTGCCAATAACAAAAAGTGAGATCAAACGGGAAGTGGGAGGCATCTGTTTCAGAAGGTCATATTGGTTTGCTCAAATATTAATATACAGTGGTATTGATAGGTGTCATTTTGCCCTCTTACATTATGCCATAGGTTGCTTGGGAGGGTGGAGGGACAGAGCAGGAGAGGAAGGCCCTCTATGAGGTGGATTGATTCAGTGACTGGGATAATTGGGATGGGAGTGTCAGAGACAGTGCGATTGGCACAGGACAGAGCGGAGTGTAGGGCTGTTGTACATGGGGTCGCTATGAGTTGCAGGCGACTCGACGGCACATAACAACAACAACAACATTATGCCTGTCTTCTTGCACATTTCCATTGAGAGGTGGGAATTTTCAGCCTTCAGAGTTTTCCTCTTCTTTATCAATGGAACAAATTAGGTGGAAAGGTCAGATATGAGAGTAGAGTGCAATGTGTCTGCTCATTCCCAGCTTTCTCTTGTCCCCTGAGGCTACTGACGAGCTAGGAATCTTGGATCATAGACCGCAAGACTGAGGTGGTGAAAGTCTGGGGTAACATGAATTTCCTCACGTGGTATTTATGACTGCCTCACTGATTCCTGAGTGTTAGCTCTCAGAGGCATGGAATGAGAATAGGAAGATCTTAGCTAGGCTCTTCCTTTTCTAAATAAGGACCCCTAAAGAAAGACGAAACAGCAGGGCTGGCTGCTCACAGCTTATTAGGTTCAGGACCATATTCCAACTTCTGTTCCTCCTAGTCCAGCATGATGCTATTACCTGGGCTCTAGCAGCTGGTGTACTTGTTAAGAGTTTCAGGAGTTTAGAATGTATTGCTTTTTCACCAGCATTGATTGAAGTACACAGCACTTACTTTTAAGTTAGAACATGCCATACTGCTTTTAACACAGATACAGTTACTTAAAGCCCATTATGTGTGTTCCATACAGATGGTTTTGGGGCAGAACGCCCCTCACTTTTTAATAAGACAATTTAATGGTCAGTAAGCATGTGTTAAAATGCCTCTGTTTTTAATTAAAAGTTAAGTGCTGCCTAGTTAAATCTATACTCTTCTGGCTTTGGAATGTGTACTAAGAGAACTCCAGAGAAGAACCCTTGCCAATTGTCCAAGATATAAAGGCAATTTGTGGGGAATGTTGAAGACATTTCATGCATTTTAATGCTTCTTCTCTCACTTATAAGTAAACTGATTTATTGAGATTTGATAGTGTTTTTGTTGCTGAATATTCTAAGATTTAAAAATAGCTCTCTTGGGATTGAGGTTGGGGACATCTCACATCCACAGCCTCTTCACATATCTTCAGGGATGTATTCCTGGTCATCTCTCCTTCTTTGACAATTGGCTTGACAATCTTTCTTCCTGAAACCTACTGTCTGTCAAATTCAAACCCTTCATTCCCTTTCCTACTGACTGAGATCACAAGAGGACTTTGGAGCAAGAGTGATCATTGAATGAAGGAATAGTTGATGTTCTCCTGAAGATTATATAGGTGGGGAGAAAATAACTATTGTAAGTTTCTGCCTCCCAGACAGTCTTCCCTTTCTGATATTTAGGGGTTCTTTTAGTGAAAGCATTGTTGTTGTTGTTGTTATGTGCCATCGATAGAGATAGCTCCCATTCTAGGTTCTAGACATACTTATCAGTGACATTGGTTACATTCTACACCTTCAATATTCTCTTTATTTCTATATATTCTAGTTGTTTCAACCCTGTTTACTTAAACTCCTTGCACCACAGCTTTCTTGTTTACCTTTTAAAAATAGATGTTTAACCCTATCTTATCACATAGATATTTTTAAAATATTTACACACATTCTGACTTTTCATGAGGGAAGTTTGACTTACTGTTTTTCCTAAGCACATTTATCCTTTTCTTAAATTTTATAATTTTATCAATTTCTTCCCTCAAAGTATTAGGCAGGCCAACAAATACAATTGAGAGAAACCACTTGATATAGAAATTTTCACTGGCTATGTGAATTACAGCTTTATTAAGTCTTATGTCTGAGAGATTAGTCTTTGAATCTAAATCTTAACTAAAGGTAGAGAAAGAGGCATATGAAATTAGGAAGGGAAAGGAAAAGGATTTAAGTATGATAAAGAAGCAAGAATAGAAAGGGTGAAAGTCCTTGAGAAGGCAGTTAGCATAGTGAACTCTCTTTAGGTATCTTCATGATGGGAAGGTTGCTATTGCTGTTGGAGAACCAAGAAAAATCAGGCATGGATTCTGATGATGACTGTTGCTGGGAAACACAGTGTGCTGGGAGGCTCAGAAAAAGACAGGAAACCTTCCCCAGTGGCTGTGACAATGGACTTGAGCATGTCAGAGATGTAAAGGATGGTGCAGGGCAGAGTAAGGTTCGTAGGGTTGCTATGAGTTGAACTTGACTCAAAGACACCTAACAACAACCTTACTCTAGTATGTTGCCGCTAAATTTCATCTCTATTTACAATAATCTTACAGGACAGAATAGGACTTTCTCATAGGATTCCCAAGGCTCTAGATCTTCATAGAAGTAGACAGTCAAATCTTTCTACCCACAGAGCAGCTAGAAGGTTTGAACCATTAATGTTTCATTTAACAGCCAAGTTCTTTAAGTACCAAGTCATATAAAGCATAACACAATAGTCATCTGGAAAAGTAGAGATATTGTATCTCATCAGGTTTATTCAAATATACTCTGAATGTTAATGGATTAGACTAGTTTTCAAGTTATTTTAATGTTATTATTAGGGGTTGGATTCTATTTTTATTATCAATGAATACTCTCTTCAGTATAATCTCTTGACACAGTCCAATTATGAGTTAAGGTCCTCAAGTTTTCAGATATTATGATCCTCTGGTTCAAGTCCTTGAAATTGATATATAAAGAGGCCAAGTTCAAGCCCAGATTTCCCTAACTCTCTGGTGGTGTCCTAGTGGTAAGAAGCTACACTGCAATCCCAGAAGCATGCAGTTAAAATCCACCAGCTGTCCTACAGGAGAAGGATGGGCAGTCTCCTCTCATTCTATTTCCTGCCTCTGAAAATCCACCACAGGATCAGCTATGGGTTGGTTTTGACTTGACAGTACTCAACAACAACAAATAATATGGAGCTCAGGTGACTTAGTGCTAAGAAATTGGACATGATTTGGATCTACCAGTAGCTCTGAGGATGAAAGATGGACAATGAATGAATGGAATTCCAAAATCTCTGTAGATCTTCATTGAAATGAAAACTAAACAACCTAAATTAAAAAAAAAAGATGGACAATCTCCTCCCTTGCAATTTCCTGCCTCTGAAAACCCACTGGAGGGTCAACTATGAGTTGGTTCCAACTCAACGATACTCAACAACAACCACCACAACAAGCCCTATATGGCTTTACCTGTACAAAGGTTCTCAAGCTGGGGAGATATTTTTAAAAAATACTGTTTCATAGCTGATCCATCATCCATTCTCAAATATTTTGATTCAGCTGGTCTGGGATAGTATTTAGACATCTTTATTTAAAAAAAAAACCCCAACAAAAAAACCCCACAAAACTCCCTTATGCCCTCCATCTGTTTTGTTTAATTCTCTTTGGCATTTGCTGCAACATTTACCCATGGCAAGGCAGGGTTAAAACCTTTTTTTTTTTTTTTTTATTATTAGTCCAGGTGTTTGTAGCCATAGGGCATGACAGGAACTGGATATGCTAGAAATTAGAAATTTTCTCCTTAAAGATTGAATTTGACCATGTATCTTGTCCCTATCAGAAGATATAATTAAAGATTGGAGGATTTCAACCTATCACTTACTCAATAATGCTTTTCAAACATTCCATTACAGGTGGTGTTGTCCTCAACCCGGCTTATTACGGCATGCCTGGCCATACCAACGTCATGATCCATGAGGTGGGCCACGTCCTGGGGCTTTACCACGTCTTCAAAGGGGTCAGTGAAAAAGAATCCTGTGATGACCCCTGCAGGGAGACCGTGCCATCTATGGAAACAGGAGACCTCTGTGCAGACACAGCCCCTACTTCCAAGAGCAAGCTGTGCCAGGACCCAGAGCCTACCAACGACACCTGCGGCTTCACCCACTTCCCCGGGGCCCCATTCAGCAACTACATGAGTTATACAGGTATTATGACAGCTACGATGCTCTTGTCTTCTGTTAGTATTATTTTGGCATCTTGTAGGGGCTGGAAAGGATTCTGGAAAGGGGCAGAGATGATACAGTAGTGTTTTGTATCAATTGGTATCAGAGTTGATATTTATTTATCTATTTATATTTATTAAACACATTTATGATTGAATTTCTATCATTTTCTTTTCTAAAAGGAATTCAAGATCACATGATTTGGGGACTTATTTGTTGTGTAAGATATTGATTTGGACAGAGAGATGACAAGCAAGTCACATAGGTTAATATTGCTTCTTTGGCTCTAACATGGGGAAAAAAAGAAATAAGATTAGGAATAATTGATAGTGAAGGGATGAGAGAAGTAAAAAGCTGGACTGGGGAGAATTTAATGAGCTTTACAGCTTTTCATCTGTTATAGCTTTTGTGCTACATTAGAGCTTCATTATTTCAAGATACTTATTTCTTTTTTATAGTAAAGTACATCATTTACTTTTAAAAAATAATGCTACTTCTATCTTGGATTGTTAGAAAAAGGAGAGTCTCAATTAAAACTAAAAGCCCTCTTGAGGATCTTCCCACCTCTAGGGTTGGATTTTCCTGTTCTTGTTCTCCTTTTTAAAGCATTTGCTCAGATGGAGAGTACAGCAGGAATGGATCAAGGCAGCTGCGGGTACCACTTTTGAGAGTTCTGGTTAACTTTAAGCTCCTTATTCCCTTTTTATTTTTGTACTTCTTTAAAAAGTGTAAGATTCCCTTCTTCTACTACTAGCCAGTAAATAATTCTTAACTTGCCTTTTCTAAAATATTACTCTCATTTAAAAAATAGAACCAATAGATTTATCTGATCTAGTAGTCTTCTGTAGTTCAGTTCCTGAATTTTCCTTCTCTCTCCTCTTACATCTCCCTTGAATTTGGAGAAAAGCACTACTAGCCACAACCTCCTGATAATGAGATTCAAGCTTATGCCAAAGACTAAAGATTTGATGTGATGACAACCTCCTGTGGAGAAAGAAAAGGGTCATTTATTTCCCTCTTAGGTCCAGGGACTTATTTGGTGGTAGATTCTGGAATTTATCTAAGGACTAAGTTCTAAAATTTTATTTAAATGTACCTGACAAAATAAAACAGCAGGCCTTGATGTGCTTTTATTTCAAGAGGTGAGAAGAGCAAAGTGATGAGTTAGTCCCTCTTCTGGCTTATTGCTTTACTTCTGTCCAAGACTTAGTCAGGGGAGTAATTCATTTGGCTTCACCAAATGCATGAGCACCAGCAAGCTGGCCTTATCATCAAGGGTGTGGTAGCAATTTGTAGGGGCAGGCAGCTCAGAGAACGAGCTGCAGAAAGCAGAAATGTTTAAAGTACCACCTATGAGGTGAGACGAAGACAGAGCTGTGAAGCAGAGAGAATAGCTGACTGGTGTATTTTCACTGAGAAAAACCCATTACCAGCCATATGAAAAATGTGCCTGCAAGGGCAGACTTTGTCTTCTCCAAAAGTTATATTGGGACCATGATTCCTTGACATTTTGGTTCTTGTCCCCCTTGAGCATCAAAGTCACTGGACAGAAAGCCTGTGACTCCCACAGAGGTTTTCACAGCAAAAGACCTGCTGAAACACTGCCATCTGCTGGTTTGCTGAAAAAGCAACCATCAGTTTAGAATAGCCCCACACCCCAGGACAGTTGGTCCAGCTCAGCATCAACGTTATTTATTGGTCCTGTTTTAGAGACCAGCAAGCACTGTGTTTCTGCTTTCTTATTCCTACTTTCACATTTGAAAGTTCCTGGAACAGAATCCACTTATTATTTCAACATGTACTTATAAAGGTTAATAATAAGTACACAGTGGTACCATAGATTCTGGGGTCATGAACAAGACAGAATTGATCTTTGCCCTTGTGAACTTTACAGGCTACAACCTCATTCATCTCTTGTGCTCCCCTTTTGTCTCTGCAGATGATGACTGCACTGACAGTTTCACCCCTAACCAAGTGGCCCGGATGCATTGCTATTTGGACCTTGTGTATCAGCAGTGGAGTGAAAGCAGAAAGCCCACCCCCATTCCCATTCCACCAGTGGTCATCGGGCAGACCCACAAATCCCTCACTATCCACTGGCTGCCTCCCATTAGTGGAGTCGTGTATGACAGGTAAGAGAAGTGCTTGCCGTGGCTGAGGCTAGTACAACATTCTCTGGGCGCACACGGAGTGTGGGCATTTCTCGTGAATGAGGAATGTGAAGTGAGGAAAACATCAACTTGGAGCTCTAGCTGCGTGCACCACTGCTCAGGAGCAGTCTCCTTATCCAGCACAGTTCTTGTCTTCTTGGAAATGGCTCTCATCACATGTGCACACTCCTTGGGGCGGGGCTTGCCAGATGTTCTCTTGGAAAGGTCGCATCTGGCCGGCTTTCCAGAGCGGTGAAGAGGTTGACGAAAGAAAGTGATAAAGATGAAGTAGTAGAACAGAGAAGACATTTTTCGCCTGTCCAACTCAGCTGTTCCTTCTCGTTTTGAGGGTGGGACAGTGGCTTGCAACGTCCAGAGTGGTGATGTGGGGAAGGGAAGTGAGATGTGCCATTGCAGGCAGTTCTGGGATAGAGGGTGAGGGGCTGCATGCTGCTCCAAGGTGTACATCAGGGACTTTACTGGCTTATGGGCCCATTCTGAAGCTTTCCTTGCTTCCTGTTACACCCTGTGCTTCCTTCCCTTTCTTATGTCAGCTATCTTACGAAGTTGTCATTGTTGTTGTTAGGTGTCATCAGGTGAACCATGGCTCTCAGCAACTCTCTGAATAACAGATCTGACCCTGGTCCTTGCTGTGCCATGCTCTTCGTGTCTGATGCACTGAAGCTTATTTTTGAATCACTGGGCCAATCTGTCTTGTTGGTGGCCTTCTCTTCCTCTAAGGCCAGCAGGAGTCATCATTCCAGTTTATTTTTCTTTTCCCCAACACAGTGGGAACTTCTGGAGGCAGAACTGTTTTTGACTTGTCACAATAGACAACTATGACATATTTATTAAAAAATAAATTAGACCTGAAACTTTAACTACCATCCATTCTTTACATATATCAGAAATAATTTTTTAGGGGAAGAGGGAAGAGAGGGAGACAGAAGGTGGTAACTGGTGGGATTATGGGAGAAGTGGCTTAACTAAGAAGGACCAGAACCCCAAACCTGCCCCTTGAAGGATCACTTCCCTTGGAACTTGCTTTATGAGTAGTCACCAAGTTGACTCTGACTCATGTGGGCCCCAAGTACCACGGAGTGGCGTTTGTGCTCTGAAGGGTTTTCAACAACAGTGAGTTGCAAGGCCTTTCTTGATTTTAATGAAAAGAAGAGCTGCTGCTAATTGGGACCTAACTATGTACAAAGGACATTCGCTTTCCTCCCCTCTGGAAGTCAAGGACATAGATACGCATGCAACATGCTTGCATGTGCCCCTAGCATTGCAGAAAAACTTGGGGAGAAAGGAGGAGACCAAGGATAAAAGGAAGCCTGGGGATAATTTTTTGTAGCTGCATTCTCAGCCTTCTTTGGTCTTCCTACCTGGCTCAGCTCTCTGACCATAACTACTGCACCCTATCGCTTAATCCTCCCTGTAAAATACTTAATGTTGCCATCTGCACGTTCACGCTCTCACGAGTCCCGTTTTGTGAGTCAGTGCTTGTCTATGCCATGCACATGAGAGCCCTCTTCCTTCAAGTGTAACCTTGTGCCGCTTCAGATGCACTGGCTGGACAGTAAGTCCTTGGTGGTTTGTACAGAGCAGGCTTTTACATCGTTTATGTAACACATGTAAACAATTTAATCTTTCAGTTCTCTGGTACAGACGTTACTAGAAAGCTGACATCGGTACTGGCTCACTACAAGTCTGTTGGCAGAAAAGGCTACAGTTTGCTTCCTTTTCTCAACTAGGTGGGCCCCAGCATTGAGGGCCTGATACGTGTGTCAGGGAAGACTCACGTCACCTACCCAGCAATTTGTGTCATGCTCGGAGTTGTGTTTACTTCATCCCGGTAGGTATTTGGTATTCTTGTGTCAGAGAGGAACCCGAGCTACGCACTTTGCAGTGGCCCCGGAAGGGCCAAGTGCATCAAGGATGTGTGGTTTTGAGTTGTGTCCACATTAGAAGTGAGTGCCGATGGGAGTCAGAAGTTGGAACGTGTAACTGCACCTTTCAGCTGCCAAAGCACCGGACACTAGATGACGCTTGGGAATGTTCTCAAAGGAATCCAGGAACTTGTTATGTGACCTTAGGCGATTTACTTAACCTCTCTGAGCTTGTGTTTCCTCACTTGTAAACACAGGGTGATTATAGGAATTAGACATAATTTTTGGGACGCAGCACAGCGCGAGGTATAAAGACAGTGCTTGATAAAATGGTAGTGTTTTTATAATTTTCACTACAATACTATTTTCTAGCATATTACAGGACATGACTTCCTCCCCACCCCTTTGTTGTTTTTGTTATGTGTTTTAGTGTTGTCAAGTCAGAAGTGACTCATAGCGGACTCTCCAGCGATTTTCAGAGACTGTAAATCACATTAGAGGAGATTGCCCATCTTTTCCCTGTGGAATGACTGGCGGATTGGAACTGAGTTCCTTTGAATTGGCAGCACAAATTCTTACCACTAAGCCACCCTATTTTAATGGCTCAGTTTTCTGATGTATCATTCACACATAGTCTCAGAGACAAGCTTTGTAAAGTGTTTTCCCCTTGCTCTTTAGCAATTATGGGTTCTCTGTCTTCTAGTTAGCTGAAGTATGTTTAAAAGGCTATTCATAGATTATATAATAACCTTATATGTGCTTGTTAAACCAGCATTTACAGAAGGACTGCTGAAGTCAGTCTTTTTGCTGCTTGCTGGAAATAGTAAGAATAGAGTGTGATCTCGATGGTCTAATCTTGCTCAGGAGCAAATGAGAAAATATGAGCCCTACTCATGAGAACATGTAACTGGAAACGGTCAGCGTCACAGAACAGGGCCCTTGTGAGGAGCCAGCAAGTGTAGTGAGTACACAGAGCAGGAATTGCACCCTACTTGAAGTCAGGTTAAGTACCATTATTACAAAGGTTATGTTTAAATGGGTCTTGAAGGGTGCGTAGGAGTTTGCTAAAAGGAAAAGCCGGAGAAAGCAATTTGATTGCTGAAAGAACAGTATGTTTCAAACATCTGTGTGTAGGGCATGCTGCATCTGAAATGATAAAAGTTAATCATGAAGTATGACTTAAGTTCATGAAGGAGATTCAGCAGATAAAGTTGTAGCGAGATGGTAAAGGACTTCTATTACATTGTATTGAATCCACCCACTGCCATTGAACTGATCCCTCCACATAATGACTCGACAGGATGGGATAGGACTGCTCCACAGTTTTCAAGGTCGTGAGGTCTTTCTCGTGTGGTTCAGCTTGTGGGTTTGAAGCTCTGATGTTCTAGTCATTAATGGCAGTTGTTGCTGTTGTTATTATTACATTTGTTATTACTTGCCATTGAGCCATAGTGACCCTTTGATCAGGAGATGTGAACCTAGTGCTCTCCTGCACCATCCTCACCATTGTGCCCAAACCATTGTCACGTCGCTGTGTCAGTCTGTCTTGCTGACAGTCTTCTTCTTTTACTGACTTCTACCTTTCCCAGCATTATGCATTTTTTTCCTTCTGACAACATTCCCAAAACATGTGAGTCAGAGTTTCACCATAATTTCTTCTAATGAGCACCCTGGGTGCACATTAAAACATATCACTAGTAAGTTTACTCTGAAAATTCATAACTATATTAGTAGAGAAATTTCAAGAGGTCTTTGGATGACTTCTTGTGAATCAGCTTTGAAAGCCATTTTATGTTGAAAGGGTCAAATGTTTGTTGTTTCATGTTTAATATTTCTAGGCAAAAGCTGCATCATTTCATCTCCACAGGCCCCCTTTATGGCTTAGTTAAAATTATCTGCTTCATTACCTTGAGATTTTCATGTCACAATGAATTTTGCAAAGATGAGGTCAGCCTCAGAAGGAAGTTGAGAAATAGTTTTTTTCTCATTTACCCACTAGGGCCTCATTAACCAGCACACACCCCTCCTCCCTCGGAAGATCCTGCGACTGCCCTTATTCAGGTTCGTCTCATGGATTCTCCCCTTCTCCCTTCGGTGTCTTCTCAGGGACGTGGACAGCATGTGTGGAGACTGCACTGAAGATGGGACATTTCGTCAGTATGTACACACAGCATCCTCCCGGCGAGTGTGTGATGCCTCAGGTTACTGGACTCCAGAGGAAGCTGTGGGTAAAGTACCATAGCTTTTTAATATATATGTTGATGGGCCTTGAGAGTGAAAATGGATCATTCTTCTCTTGTTAAGCAAAACAGGAACTGGTAAGGAAAAGAAGTACTGGGTGTGTGTGTGTGTGTGTGTGTGTGTGTGTGTGTGTGTGCAGGTGTATAGTTTTCAGCATAACTCCCAAGTGCTTTGGAAAGACCATGTGCTGAGTGTACCCTGTGTGGTTTATGTGGAAGCCTAATGTCTGTGGTGAAGCTGAAGTTGGCATGAAGGACAGAGGGAAAAAACGAACTCAAGGGGTAACTTCAGGGTGAGATGTCTTAGGAGTGTAAAGCTATATGTGCCTACCAGTTTAAGAAGCAGCTTTGCCACACGATAGTTGGTAGTAAGCTGACCTATTCCTCCTATTAGAAGAGTAACAAAGAACACATTGCAGAGAACACTCATGCACTGGCTGAAAGAGAGGCTGGGTGGGGGGAGGGTGAACTAGGTGTTCCAAACTGATCGTTCTGATCTATGTTATTTTATGGGCCCATTAATCATTAGTACTGGTTGTGCTTGGGACATGATCTAAGCTAGGAGGTGGAAAATGTTTTTAACTGTCCGTTTCTTTCTCCCTTAGCTTCTCAAATGCTTACACATCTCACACATGCACTCATGCCTCAGGACAAATTAGAGTATGAATCTTCACAACTCAAGTTAAAAAAAAGCTGATGAGTCTATTTTTTACTACCTCTTGATGAATGACTTAGCATCACCACTGTCTTCAGTGCTAACCTAAGCATCACCTTTTTTCTTACAATTAGTAAAATGCTAGAAATCACTCTGTGAGATGTATTGGCCTCAGTTTTATATCAACTGGTCTGCAATCCTCACCCTGACAGGGGGTAAACGAGGACATTGGTCCTAGCATCTCTAACTGCAATGTCTGTTATACACACTTGAACTCGGACACCCATGGAAAAGGAGAATAAAGAAGAAATCTGGACGGAGACAGTTCACTTGATTGATTGTGTATGATTTTTCTCAAATAAGAGTTTTCAGGGAAGAATTGGGACAGGGGAATACAAACTTTACATTGGCATTGCGTTAAATTCATGTTTACATTGATATTCCATGAAAGGACATTTTGATAGCCAAGGTTTGTGGTTGTTGTTGCTTTTGTTTTTTAAAGTATAATGTCCATTTTCTTTTCAGACGAGTTTTATCTTTAGCCTTTAAGGAACCAAATCCTTCCAACGGGCTTTGGTGGGAGTTGTGGGGCAGCACCTGCAGGTCTAAATCTAGCTGGAGGTGTTCGGTCCTTCCAGGCTTCACGAGACTGGTTCCTCGCCACCTTGCTGGGAATGGCACAGCTCACATAGTAGTGCAGTTTCGCATAGAGCTTTGGAAGCACATACGCGTCGAAGACACTCATTTTTGGAAATGTCCCTGATGGCTGTAGTCTCTACTATATTTCAGATTACAAACTTCTTGATTGCCTTGTCTTTGGGCATGGCACGGGAACAGTTCATGCCATGAATAGGCCACACATGGCCACGGTCCTTTTTGGCACGACCATTGTTTCTCCTTTTCTTTGTCATGTTGGAAGCTTCTTTCTAATTCTTAAAAGTATTGCATTATAACATAGAGGTGAAATAAATAAGAAGTTCTGTGTTCTAATTTTTGTACTGTGTCACAAGACAAACAAAATTAGCTTGTAGTTTCTCTCTCACAAGGAGATCATAAAAACCTTTCTGACCAGCAGTGCTGCTATTGGGTTGGCTTCCAAAACCTCTTCTGCTAGTGTTCTGTGATAATCACTGGAAAATAACACTAAGAAATACTGGTCTTCCCTTGGCATTGGAGAGATAAAGGGCTAAGTCATATTTAAAATATGCACAATAAAAATAATTAACTCAAAAATAGCATTTTCCAACATAAGGGTTTTCAGCTATGAAGAAAAGAAACTTAATAACATTTAATGAACCCTTGGTGGCCACCCACTGATTTCTAAATGTCCTGGGGATTACAAAATTAAACCAGACCTTTTTCTCTCTCTCGTCACTGATATAAAATCAGAACAGAATGATAGCTGACCACTCAAAAGCTCTCTGAGTCTGTACATTTCTCAGTAGAAGACTGTTCATCTTTCTCCTGCAGAGCTGCTTGTAGATTCAAGACACCAGAGAAGTAGCTATGAGTAAGCAGTACAGCTCCCTCCAGATGAGTCCACCAGAACTCCCTAAATCAGACACATGCCATGCATAGACATCATCTTCTTGGAGAGACCTTCTCTGATTCCATTTTCTAGGAAAACACACAGTTACCTCAAACTTCTGTGTTGTAGCATACCTTTGAGTCAGAATCAACCGATAACTGATCCTCCAGCAGATTTTCAGAGGCTGTAAATCTCATGGGAGGAGATTGCTCATCTTTCTCCCATGGAGTAGCTGGTGTATTTGAACCATGTCCTTTTGGGTTGGCAGCACAAATCCTTACCACTAAGCCACCAGAGCTCCTTTTCCCCCAAGATTCCATTATTATTTACAATTACAATATAGATTCCTTTGTCTGTTTATTGTTGCTCCGTGAAAGTGAAGAGGGCCTGAAGCAGTTATTGAGGAAGGTCAAAGACTGTGGCTGCCAGTGGAGATTTTATCTCAACATACAAAAAAAAATAATTTCAAATCTGGATTAGCAGGCAACATCATGATATTGTGTTGTTGTTGTTATTGTTGAGTGCCACTGATTCAGAATTGATCCATAGCTACCCTGTGACAGGTCGTCAGAGGCAGTTAATTGCACAGGAGGGGACTGCCCATCCTTCTAGTGCTGAACAGCTGGTGGACTCAAACTGCTCACCTTCGGGATTGCAGCTCAGCTTCTTGCCAGGTTATTTTCAGCTGTTTAATATGCATGGGAGATTCAAATAATGGATAAGGAAAGTGATGAAGAATTGATGCCTCTAAACTGTGGTGTTAGTTGTTGTTGTTGTTGTTAGGTTCTGCCAAGTGGTAGACGACTCATAGTGACCCTATGAACGAAGGGCCTGAGCATTGTTCGTACATAGAGTTTCCAGAGGCAAGCCATTTCGGAAGTGGATGCTGCTCCTGCTTCCAGGCTTGTTTTACTCGGGAAGCTCCAGCAAACACGGTCCATCATGGGTAACCATTACCACATTTGGCACATCATTTTCACAGTGTTCAGCATCACAGCAGCCATGAGTTACCTCTGTATAGCAACGCACAGACCAGTGGTATAGCACCTATGTAGACACTTGATTATACGGTGGACTGACAAACTCTAACAAAAAACATTCATGGTTGTCTAGTCAGAATTGAATCAAAACTGACCTTCCATTGGTTTTGAGGCTGTAAATCACATGGGAGGATATTACCCATATTTATCCTGTGGAACTGCTCGTAGATTTGAACCACTAGAGATATAGATTGAAAGCAAAACTGTCTGCAGACTAAGCCACCAGTGCTCCCTTGGACTGCCAAAGGACATACAAATCTATGTTGGAAGAAGTTCTAACAGTGCTCCTTAGAAGCAAAAATTGTGAGGCTTGGTCACGTACTTGGGGCATGTTGTCAGGATGAGCCAATCCTTGGAAAGGGAGATCAGGCCTGGAAAAAAAATCACTGAAATTGAGGAAGACTTGTAATGGGTAGATTGTCACAGGAGTTGCAACAATGTGCTTAGCCCAGTAGAGATTGCGATGGAGGCATAGTATCAGGTAGGGGTTCAATCTGTTGAGTAACAGGACCACTAGGAATATGAGAGAACTCAGTGGCTCCTAAAAACAGCAACCTATTGTTGACTCTGTCACTTTTTTGGAAGCTATTTAAGTACATAGGTAGCTATGAGTAACAGGTGACTTAAAAACACATAATAACAAGAAGGACATTTAAGTGTAAGGCCTTTATTTCTTTTATATACTTTTCTATTTCTAATACTTAAATCTGTGCCAAGCTCATAATAGGGACCCAATTAATTTTTATTGAATAAATGAATAAACTTATAATAAAGGCAAAAAGGATCATAAGATATAACTAACACACATGCACACCCCACCTTAACCTGTCCTTTTTAGGCTCAGGGATACTCTTTATTTTCCAAATTCTGAAGGGCTAAGTAATTCCACTGCAAATGTAAAAATGTAATTTCTATGTAAAGCTATATAGATTTTTAATAGTAACCCATAGGACAGTTATTAAACTTTATTATCTATTTTACAAATGTAGAAAATGAGGCTTAAAAGACCAGTTTCAATCTCACAGCTAATGGCACTGCTTGATTTGAGGTCACTTCTATGATTTCTAACTCAGCTCTTTCTAACTCTCATGTCATAGGAAATAAAACCACTTTATATGGATTATACCCATAGAGCAGACCATAAGCTGTTTGTGACATGTGACCCCTCACTATCACATTTATACTTGCCTACTGAATCTCCATTTGTTCGCACTCAATAATGTATGCTCATGTTTCCTGCCTTCATTCATTTACCTACCTGCACGTATACCTCAACTGAAACGGAAATCCAATGTATGGTTTTAAAGTGTGGCTAACAGTCAGGTGGAGGGACTGCCAACGTGGGATAGTAGGAAATCAAAGAAGTTGTGTGAAAAGCCACCATTTAAACAAAGAGTGCATTGACAGACTGAAGTGAATATTTGCCTTATTAATAAGTAAAACAGGGTTTCAGAAGCATTAATTTTTACATACATCTTTAATAAACTAAGTAGAAGTAATTCTCTGCTCAGGGATTCTTTAAGGCTATGACTTAACCATTCTGCATCAACTCTCTGTGTTTTTAACCAAAGTTCTGGGTTGCTCCATTTCAATTCTTTGCTGGGTTTCCACTGTAGAGAGCTGATATCATGAAGAGCATACATAATGCAGTTGGAATGTTGTAACTTCGTCCTCAATTATACTTAAGATTTAACCACTGACTTTTTTGATTATGGGAAATCTAAGTTCAAAAGCGCCTTCACCCCTGCCACCCTCTCTTTCCTCTTTCTAGCCACTCTCACCGGTTGCCCATTTTCGGATTTTCTGACCGAGTTTTCTGCTCATCTCCACCAGGGCCTCCTGACGTAGATCAGCCGTGTGAGCCGAGCCTGCAAGCCTGGAGTCCCGAGCTCCACCTGTACCATATGAACATGACGGTCCCCTGCCCCGTGGAAGGCTGCAGCCTGGAGCTGCTCTTCCAGCATCCGGTCCATGCTGACACCCTCACTCTTTGGGTCACCTACCTCTCCACGGACTCCTCCCAGGCACTCTTCGACACGGAGATCTTGATGGAACACCAGAAGTCCTTGCACTTGGGCCCCTTAGACGCTTTCTGCGACATCCCCCTCACTATCAAACTTGACGTTGAGGAGAAGGTTTTGGGGGTGAAAGTCTACACTTTAGATGAGCGGATGGAGATTGATGCGGCTCTCCTGACTTCTCGGCCCCACAGTCCCTTGTGCTCTGGCTGCAGGCCTGTGAAATATCAGCTTGTCCGCGAGCCCCCGTTCACCAATGGCTTACCGGTGGTCGTGACACACCCTCAGAGGAAGTTCACAGACGGGTGAGTTGAGCAGTAGGACTTTCTAAAGCATGGAAATTTCTGGAGCTTTGGGGGAGGGTTTTATGCCCTTTGCCCTATTTTTTTTTTTATAATCGGATATGTTTTTTGTTAGAGACATGTTCAGAATCTCAAAGAGGATTTTATTCTGAACACGTTTATTTGTTGTTATTGTGTATTGTCAAGTCAGAATCGGCCCATCACTGACCCTCTAGCAGATTTTCGAGTCAGTGGCTTAAGTGGTAAGAAGCTACGCTGCAATCCCAAAGGCACGCAGTTCCAGTCCACCAGCTGCTCTGCGGAAGAACGATGGTCAGTCTCCTCCTGTGTGATTAAATGCCTCCAAAAGCCCGCCAGAGGATGCTACACAACACAAACAAATCACATAGGAGAAGCTTGCCTATCTGACTGCTGATGCTGTCATTGTTGTGATGAACCACCCACACCTGACCCTGCAGTGGGTTTTCAGAGGCAGAAAGAGAACGAGAAGAGATGGCCCATCCGTCTTCTGAGGAACAGCTAGTGGATTTGAACAGGGTGCCTTTGAGATTGCAGCGCAGCTTCCCACCATAGGCCACCATCACTACGATTATGAAAAAAGAAGCTAATATTTTAATTGCTTCCGGCAGGCTGAAGGTCATTGTCAGGAGTGAGTCAGTAAGAACCAGGTGCTCCTATTTGATGATATAGTTTAATTTCTGATTCCTTACTATTATTTTCTGGAAATCTGACATCATTTCTAGAATATTCTAAGGCTACAGTCAACTCTACCTTTATTAAGCAAAGAGGCCAAGGAGCCTGCAGACACAATATTCATTTTCATGACACATTTGACATGTTTATTTAATTCTCTTTTCTTTTTCTCATGCCCTCTTCTTTCTACTTTTCTTCCTAGCTCTCCTTTAGCTCCTACTCCTGTTCTGTCTATAAGAACCTCATGAGTTTGACTATGTTCCTGGCACTGTATTCAGTGCTGGGATGCAGACTCAATAATGTTATTGCTTTCAAAGATTTCTGTGTCTATAATAGGCTGGTATCTCAAAAGGCAAATTCCCACAGGCTCATAATTTTCTTCAGAGTTGGTCCTGAGGGCACTAAAGATCAAACAAGAGCTTTATTGGAGGTAGCGTGTTAGGGAACTCTGATGGCCTAATGACAAAAAGTTGCATTCCAATCCTGAAGGCATGTGGTTCAAATCTACCAGCTGCTCCATGAGAGATGGATGGGCAATCTCCTCCTGATTAACTACCTCTGAAAATCCACTGGAGGGTCAGCTATGGGCCGGTTCCAAATCAACGGTATACATCACCACCACCACCACAACCATGTCAATTCAGTTTTTCTGCATCAGAAGACAGTATAAACATAGGGGTTTAAAATAGAAGTGTTTCTTATGGTTCTGTGGTTGGCTGAGCATTCTTGTCTGGAATGGCTTGGCCAGGCCACAGGTCATAGCCGAGTTGGCTGGAATGGCTAGAGGAAGGATGGGGGTCACTTGTTTCTAGAAAGTTTACCTTGACTTGTTCACAAGGTGGTAGACAAATTTCCATCAGTAGCGGAGAACAAGTCCATCAAACTATTTGTGTTTTCAAGGCTTTGTCTTGTTATTTGTGATAATATTCTATTAGCAAAGCATGCAACCCATTCCTGATTCGACTAAACACTAAACCCATTGCTGTTGAGTTAATTCTGCCTCCAAGTGACCCTCCAAGGACAGGATAGAACAACTTCTTACGGGTTCTGAAACTGTGATCTTTACTGAAGTCGAAAGCCATGCTGTCTCGAGCAGAATTACTAGTAGGTTTAAATCACTGACTTTTTGATTATCAGTCTAGCATTTAACCATTTACACCATCTTTTTATTTAATTCAAGGGGCAACAAAATAAACTACCCTTTCATGGAAGAAGTGGCGGGGGAGCGTGCATCTGGAAAGGGAGGAGTTTGTGACTGCACTGCAGTCTAAAACAGCTATACAGGAGAGAAAAATGGCGACTTTGAGTGTCACTTACATTTTTATTCCCATATAGTCTCTCTGAATTAGAACTGGAAGGCAATGGAGTTGTCAAAAGCCAATTAAAATGGACAAGCAGATCAAGGAATCAAGATAAAAAGGAGAATATTTTTGAGCTTCTCTAGGGAGCTCTAGTGAGAAGTCCACAGAGAGTCTATAGGGAGGGTGGTCCCTGGAGAATCACAGTGCTAACCCAAAGACCCCTCTGCAAGTTTTAATCCCCTGGTAGCTCCACGGGAGAAAGATAGATGATCTCTTGTGGGGTTTACAGGCTGGGAAACCCAATGGCGGGTCAGCTATGAGTCAGTTCTGACTCAATATCATTGTGTGTATACTAAGAACACCGAGATGTCTCAAAATTTTAACCTTAGCTTCTAACTGAAAGGTTGATGGTTTGAACCTACCCAGTAGTATCTTAAAAGAAAGACCTGGCATCCTATTTCCAAAATATTACAGCTCTTGGAAACTTTTGGTGCACAGTTCTACTCCGACTCACATGTCGTCACCACGAGTCAGAGAACTTGATGACAACTGGTGTTTTGGCTGTCTTACTCCAAAGACCCTTTGAGATCAGTGCTATTCCACTTTGAAGGCAACAAAACTTAAGACTTTAATTTAGTTGAACAGCTAGTCAGTGACAGTTCAGGATTAAAATCCAATTCTTCAGCTGACTCTTACTTTGGCCCTCTTTCCTTTTACAAACTCGGATTCTTGAGGTCTTGGGCTATACCTGCTGTTGGGAGGTTTTGCCCCCAAGAGAAGTAAGCACATGCTGACATTTCCATCTGATCATTTTCCCAACCACAAAGCAGTGGAGGACTTCTCTGCCCGGCTAGACGAGGGTCTGGCAGAAACCGTCCTGTAAAGGGAAGCCACCAGAGTTGGGGAGGATATAAAGCTGATCTTGTTTTTGGAAATATCTTGCACACTCATGAGAGGCTTGGTTTCCCAAGAAGGAAAGATAATTTGGTTATTAAAAAGTCTTTAATGTTTAGATGACTTTTCTATTAAAATGCCTACAAGCCAGCTTGGAGGTTTTTAAAGGTGTTTTTGAAACCCCAAGACATTTCCTGTTTGCCGGTTGCAAGCAGGGAGTGAGGGAGTGGAGGCTTTGTGATTGAGTTGAAGAGCCCAGTTAAAGAAGAGAGAGGCTTGGCAGGATTCATGGCAGCCACTCATGACAGCCTCCAGCCATCGGAGATCTTCGTCTTCCTGCATTCCTAGGGAGCTCCCAACCCAGCTTGACTTCAGTCAAGTTTATCAGTCAGGGCAGTTGTCATTGTTGGGTTCTGTCAAATTACAGCCAACTCATAAATGTTCCCAGCAGGTTTTCAAAGACTTGTAAATCTCCTAGGAGATTGCTCATCTTTCCCTTGAGAAGTAGCTGTTAGATTTGAATCATCTGCTTTTGGTTTGGCAGCACACTGGCAAATCAAGATGATGGTTGAACTGGTCTTTGGAACAAGCAACTCCACTTCTGGAGCCCTTTCTCCCGTCTAAATGTTCTGTCATTCTCACTCTCCACCTGTGTGGTGCACTTAGGTTCTAGAAAGAGTGTGATTAAACCATTTCCATCTCTGGCATCAAAGATGAAAACTCCATGTTCGTTATGTATGCATTTGGATAGGTTTGGATGTGGGAAGGAGTTTCTTTCTTTAAAAAATAGGATTTCAATACAATGTATTCATCCCTTTAAAGTGTGTAATTAAAGAGAATTACTATATTTCTAACCATGGAATATCAGTATTCCAAAAATGGTGATGGAAGATGTTTATATTCCTTCAGTGAGAGAATTGTTTTCACCTCTAAGGATTCAATCTCTTAAAGGAAAGAATATTTTCTTGAAAGATAAGAAACAGACTGTGATACACAAACCCAAGAAGGGCATTAGTGAGATTAAAACCTCACACTTTTATGAGTTTCTTTGATTCAAGAGACTATATCTACACACTTGGGATGCTCTATCAGTAGATTGCCAGCCTTTTAAAATTCAGTGCTAATTCACAGAACATTTATTATACATCAACTCTGTGGTATCGATGTGTAATGGGACTGCAGTAACAAAGATGATTTCAAACATTTCTGTTGCTTTGTAAAACCATATGTCCTGATCTTTTTTTGCAGGAAAATATAATAATTATTTCATACTGTTACCCAGGACATTGCCCTTAAATTTCTGCAACTATCTTAATGCTATATTCCACACTGAATGTGATAGTCACAGCCTATTGTTTTCTCTAGGGATGTCACACCTGGACAGACATATCAGTACCAGGTTCAAGCTGCAGCTGGAGGAGAAGTAGGGGAAGCATCACCTCCTCTGATCCACATCCACGGAGCTCCTTACTGTGGAGATGGGCAAGTGGAAAAGTGAGTACTGTGTGTATTAGATTGTGCGAGCCAGGCCATTGCACTGCCCTGGCCAGGAGATCCAACTTCAAGCTGGAGTTTGACATGTTTGGGAAATGTAGAAGGCAGGAAACTGTGATTACAGTGTTAATCATAACATTACAATGTCTGGAACATAGTAGTGATTTTGAAAATTATTCCATCTTTGCACAATTCAGAATGTACAGACTTTTATTTTAAAATACTGGAGAGATTTTAGGGTTGAAATACTAGGATTGATACTCTGGGTGCCCTTGTAATGCTTCTGTGACTAGCTGCTGGTGATTACTGAGGAAAAGTGACTACTCAAAAGATACTTGAAGAAGATGGGAAGATCCCTTTTGACTCAATGACCTATCCTATGGTACAACCTGACCTGAAGGATGCAAGTATAGCTTCTTGATTCAGTTGTTCATTTGAATCACAAATTGATCAAAATGACATTTCTAGTAATTCTACAAGCATCATCAATCGATGGAATCACTTCTGTTTCTTAACGTGCCATGTCATTTTTCTTGTTTTCTCCTTATCATATCTACCTCAGGGACCAACTCACTTGGCTTACGTGAGATTGTCTAAACTTAAACACATAATTCTCACATGCTGAGAAAACTAGGACAGTTGGGCATGCTATAGCAATCTACCCTTGATGCTCTTTGTAACTTCACATATTACTGTAAAGCTTCTGGGAATTGGAGGCAGGAAGGACAAGCACTGTGATTTGTCCTTGATTCTGTAGCCATTGTTAAACTTGGCAGATAGGTAAATGATGTATTTTCTCTCAAAGCCTTCACAGAACAGAATTCAATGACGTTTCTTGGGATCTCATCCCACTGTTTAGTCACTGTTTTGTTCGTTGTTGTTGAGTCAGTTCTGACACATGACATCTATCTGTTGCAGAGTAGCTCTGCTTTACCGCGTTTTCAAGACTATTACCTTTCAGAAGCAGGTTGTGTACATGGCTTTCTGGTACCTCTAGCTGAGTTTGAACCACCAGCCTTTTGGTTAGTAGTCATGTCCTTAACTGTTTTCATCTCCCATCTACAATCATTAAACATTGTTCCCCCTACCACGTACTTCTGAGATCCTTAAGCTGCAGTGTAAGCATATTCATTTCTTTTCCTAGAAGTTAAGCACAAGTATTCTCAGACCTCATTAATATAGTCAGATCTTGTTGGTTTGCTGTATCATCTCTGTTCCAAAATTTTATTTCCCCAAGCCTGAGCTGTTAAAAGCATCAGTTTACGCAAATAGATAAATGAAGGCGCTACCAGGTTACTCCTGGCTCCAAAATCAACCAGGTATGAATTCCAGCTTGACTTAGCTGAGGCATCTTATTAAACATAAAGAAAGAATAATACCAACCATTTAAAACCCTGAGTGGTGGTGGTGTTTATTATTGAGTTAGAACTGACCCATAGCTGACCCTTCAGTGGGTCTTCAGAGACAGTTAACCACATGGGGTGAGATTGCCCATCCTTCTCCAGCAGAGCAGCCAGTGGATTTAAACGACATGTCTTTGGAAATGCAGTGCTGCTTCCTATGATTCGACCACCAGAGCTCTTCATACACTGATTGGAACTGAGAAGAGTTTGGGCCCATTCTTAAGGGTGAGGGGAAATTATAGCAGATCCCTTAAAGGTCATTCTCAGGCTCTGGTTTCCTAATATTGTCATTAAAAATGGAAAGTTGTAATTTTATACATCCCTTATCAATAAGAAAATAAAAACCATCAACAGAGCCTGATCAGTGTCCATTTAGAATTGATCATCATTGTCTGTGTTCTCTCGTATGACTGTAACCAATTATATGTGAAGGGCCCTGCTGGTATAGTAGTTAAGAATTCAGCTACTAAATTAGTGGATCAAGCCTGTCAGTAGCTACCTGGGAGAAAGCCCTTATAATCTGCTGCTTTAAGATGACAGCATAAAAAATCCTATGGAACAATTCACAGGAGTCACAATGAGGTCGAATAAACTGGATAAGACCTGGGGGGGGGGGGGAACAACACAAAAACACCAACCAGCTACATGTGCCTCTTGTGCCTTTGAAATATGTCAAATCCAAGCAATAAATTTACTGTTTCATTTTAATTTTATGTAACAACTGAAACTTGCTTCAGTTATTAAAGAACATTATTATTTGGAACAATTTAGGGATGTAAGCATAGTTTTTCAAGTACTCAAACTAAAATGTCCTGTAGGTGAAAAATGCACACCAGATTTTGAAGATTTAGTATGAAAAAGTAATTTAAAATACATTATTAACAAATTTATACTAATTATATGTTGGTATTACAGCATTTTCGATATATTGGGTTAAATGAAATATCTTGTTAAAATTCATTTCACACGTTTCTTTTTTACTTTCTTATGTGATTGTTAGAAAATCAGAAACCAAAGTGAGTCTTTTAATATTTCTACTGGGAAATACTACTTGAAGTAAAGCACAATATGCTTGCATTAACTGTTTAGGTTATTGTTCAGATGAAAATACAAAGTCTCCAACCTCCAAAATTACATTACAGGCACTATTTAGAGAAACACTTGTTTAGACTAACTCTTTACCTAGAGGTTTTGGCAGCATCAGGATGGATGGTGAAGAGATTGAGATTGTTCACAGCTTTAGTTTGCTTGGCTCCACAGTCAACACTCTTGGCACCAACAGCCAGGAAATTAAAAGACGTATTGTCATGGGATAGTCTGCTGTTAGGGACTTCTCCAAAGTACTGAAGAGCAATGGTGTCTCTCTGGAAACTAAGGTGTGTCTGGTACAGGCCATGGTCTTTGCAATCACTTGCTATGCATCAGAGAGTTGGACAATGACTAGGGAGGATAGAAGGAGAATTGATGCCTTTGAGCTGTGGTGCTGGAGAAGAGTATTGAGAATACCATGGACTGCTAGGAAAACAAACAGATTCATCCTGGAAAGGGTTAAACCAGGTGGCTCCTTGGAGGCAAGGATTCTGAGGCTCCATCTAACATACTTTGGGCATCCTGTAAGGAGGGACTGGTCCTTGGAGAGGGACATCATGCTTGGGAGGGTGGAGGGACAGCACAGGAGCGGAAGGCCCTCTATGAGGTGAGTTGATTCAGTGACTGGGGTAATTGGGATGGGTGTGTCAGAGGCAGTGTGATTGACACAGGACAGAGCAGGGTTTAGGGATATTGTACATAGGGACGCTATGAGTCGCAAGTGACTTGACGGCATATAACAACAACAACTACTTTACATAGAGAGGCAAACAGAAGTCTGGAGACTTCTCAAATAATAGTTATCTGACTCAATCCTCATGCATTTTCCGTCCACTGAATTGAATTATTTGTATAAAAAGAGAATTTGAAGTTTTTATAATTTCTTCAATTATAATGTTTCTCACATCTCTTTTATTATATTTTCATTTCTAGATTGTTTAAAAATATGATTATATAACTGTATGCTTTTAATTCATTTCAAAACATTTTCATACTTATTTACTCTTTGTATCCTCATATTTCTAATGGTGGTGCAAGTCTGAAAAACATTTCAGTATTCCAATTTCCTTATCCACTGGGTCAAATATAACTCGGTATAGAGCTCTGTGGCCCAACCGTAAGGAGTTGCATTGACAACCCAAAGGTACACAGTTCAAATCCACCAGCGGCTCTACAGGAGAAAAAGGATCAGTCTCTTCCTGTATAATTTACTGCCTCTGAAAACTTCTGGAGGGTCAGTTATCAGTCAGTTCCAACTCAATGGCACTTAACAACAACAACAGCACCAAATTTGTATACTAGTTTTGGAGACTATTAAAATACAATGCGAAAAAATGGTAGTCCAGGACTTATTTTACAATAGCCTGATCTTGATATTTTTCAAAAGAGGCTTCAAGTTTTTCTATTTTATTACTTAAACATGTTTCATGTTCTTCTTACTTTGGATCAATACTCTTCGCTGGATCCAAAAATCACTCATCGGCTGTAACAGCATTTAAGATTCATTAGACATTTCCCCCCGCAATATGTACTAGCTACCACACTAGGTGGTGGTAAGGAGTAATCACAGGGACCTGACCCCTGGGGATGCTCTGGATAGAGGAATTGCAGCAAATTTGGCTGCTCAAGTTCCTGGAAATGTAGGCAAAAGAGTTTAAATCTGTAAACTTAAAACATTTAAAACAACTCCATATAGATAGAATAAAGCAGTGAAAACATACATATATATAATGTAATCGAAAGCAAAACATAAAATAAATAGGTAAATAACATAAAAAAATAAATAATAATAAAACATAAGTTTTACTTTCACCAAATCAGTTAAATAGTTAACGTTTCATTCTTATATGACAGTAGCCTTTTTTAAGGAGTCCCTGGGCAGTAAAAATGTTTATGGAATGGTATCCACTTCCTATATAACTTGTCTCAAGAAACTCTATGAATGTTGATAAATGCCAATAGCTGTAGAGGGGCTTCATAGGGTCGTTATGAGTCGGGCTCGACTCAAAGGCAATCACCAACAACATCAGCAACAACTCAACTGCTGCTAGTTGAAATGTTGGCAAGTCTGATCCATCTGGAGGCATCTGATAAGACAGGGCTGGTGATCTGCTTCCAAAAAGCCATAACACTGAAAACGCTATGGATCAATTTTACTTTGCATTTATGGGGTCACCATGAGGCAGAAATGACTTAGTGGTAGCAAACAAATAGCAACAACAACAGGTTTTTCTTAGACTTAAGATCTTCTACTGGTAACATTTACAATGATAACATAGATTTCCTAGACGTTTTTGAGTCATGAGTTACTTGACTTCTAAGATTTCCTACAACTTACTAGACACTCCAACTGACAATCATTGCTCAATTGTGTCTACTTTAGATTTTTTTCTCCCCTCCCCACCAGGTTTTTTATATGCTGTATTTTTCCCTATAGAGATATAATCTTCTTTCGTTTAGCTTGTACTTTGCATTAAAAATGTAGAAGTGCAAGAATTTGAAATACGGAAAATGATGGGAGTTAAACAAGAGAGTTTATTTACTTTTCTGTTTGTACTTGAATCGGTGTATTTATGCTTTTACTTTACAGGAGCTTAGGAGAGGAGTGTGATGATGGAGACCTTTTGAATGGAGATGGTTGCTCGAGGACATGTGAATTAGAGGAAGGATTCAACTGTATAGGTGAGTTTAGGAAAGCTCTTGCTTGTTGCTGTTATTTTTATGTGCCATTGAGTTCACATTACAACTCACTGTGCCCCTATAAATAATAACTCTCAAACTTGCCCTATCCTGAGCCAATCTCACAACTTCTGATATATTTGACCCCATTGCCACAGTCACTGTGTCAATCTGTCTCATCCAGAATGTCCCTGTCTTGCGCTGATCCTCCACCCTTCCAAGAGTAATGTCCTTCTTCAAAGACTGGCCCCTCGACAATATGAGTATGTGAGATGAGCCTCAAAATTATGGTGGGAAGAGAGAGAAGTGCAACAATGAATGATTTGAAACCCCGAGTCTCTGTAAACTTTCATTAAAATTAATAAAAATTAAAAAAAAAACCCTTTTGAAAAAAAAGACAAAAAAGTTATGTCTTCAATTGCTTGTTGTTGTTGTTAAGTGCTGTGGAGTCATAGACGACTTGATTGCTTAAGAGTATGTTATTACTGTTGTTTACAGTGCCAAGACCCCATTTTTAATGGCCACAGTCCTTTTTTAATTTTTTAACTTATTATTAATTTCAATGAAAATTTACAGAGACTTTGGTTTTCCATTCATTCATTGTTGTACTTTTCTCCTCTCCCAACTCTCCCCCAAGCCACAGTCCTTTTATATCCTAAACTAACTTAAAGAATACAGAGTTTTCATATATAGTATGCAATCAAAGCTTTGAACTAACCATTCAAAATTAGATATTGTGAAGGAAGAATTAGCCTAACAAATTATCTTGGAGTGTCTCAAATTTGTGAGTTCTTAATATCTTGTAAAATGTAACTTTGTGATAATAATATTAGCATTTAATGGTTTATTATGTCCCAGGTACTTTTTTATTGTTTTACATGTATTACAACTCTCACAGTAACGATGAAAAAAAAACCAAAATGGAAGTTCACAAAGCTTAAATAACTTGTTATTGTCCATATAACAAAAAGTGTTGAAACCAGCATTTGAGCCAAGATAAGTACAACTCTAGAATCTCCAAGTTAAGCCATTAAACTTTACTGCTTCTTAGGTTAATGTTACCTAAGTTTCTCTTGGGTGCTCATGTTCGATAAAAATATCACTTAGAAAGTGCAAACAAACAGATCCTACAAGTAATAAAGCCTCTTATGCCAAATATATTGCAAGATATATCTATATATAGAAGCTCTACCTCTATACCCTTATACCCTTGCTCTTGTAGGAAGGTGGTTCAGAAGGTGTCTCCCTTAATAAGCCAGAATCAGTGGGTTTTTTAAGTACAGATTGTTTTCTATTCCCATTGCACACAGTGTGATGATTCTGTGCAATATAAGCACTTGTTAAAATTATTTTAAATAGGAATGCATTTACAATATTTAATACCCTCAAATGTCAAGACAAAATTGGATAATTATGTGGAATTTATAAATCAAGTCTGTGTGTCACTCCTAGAGCCCCTCCTCACTGAAGCATACATTCTAAAAATCTAGGCTCTTAGTCGTCATTCACCCATTCATCCATCAATTTCACAAGTTCTTATTCCATTCTCTCTGTGTGCCACCAGTCTGATCAAGATCTGTAGATCCAGTCCACAAAAGACTTAGAGTCCAGTTTCCCTCCTTTATAGAAATCCCATGTATTAATTCCTGAGATATGGCTCTTCAGCTGCTGCTCACATGCTTAGAGAAGTGAAGAATGCACCTTAAAGCAGATTATTCCATTCATATGTGGCTATACATGCTATTAGATTTTCTCCAGTTTTGTAGTTTGGAAATTGAGGCCCAGAAGATAGAGTGACTCATCCGAGGGCATACAACAAGGTCTTGGCAAAGCCAGCCCTGGAGCTCAGCTTGCTTACTGCCTAATCAGGAGCTTTTTACTGCTATGAAATGACAAGGAATACACTCTTTTTTTACTGTTTTGTTTGACTACCATTCAGATATTTGAAATGCCTCCCCATTATTCTCCGTTCCAATCCAAATATCCCCTCATGTGATTAGGTTTCCAGATCCTTTTCTATTTACCCCAGCCTGGCATGTTTCATGTGCTCCATGCCCAGAAATTAACTCAATCCTCCAGCTGTGGGAGAGCTGTGCAGAATACACTGAACAAAGTTACCTCCCCTCTTCTCTACACACGTATTTGTTTGTGACACTTATATTTTGCGAAATTTATTTTGATAACCAAACAATTGACTTGTATTGAAAACACATAAACATACACGCACATGTATCTCCAAACACTGTGGCTTCTCCAGCACAGCTCAATTTTCATTTAAATTAAGGGCTAACTTTATTTGTTTCTATCACATTTGATCTCATTAAGCCTCTAATTCCAATAAGAGTATTTATCAATTATTTTAACTTTATAGATGTCCAGGGCAATATATTCCACAACTAGACATCTGTTTTAGCAAATAATGAGTCTGTCCATTATTTCTCAAAACATAAAATTTGAAGGAATCATTGTAAAAGATCAATTTTTAGATGGATTTCTAAAACAAACAAGCTGAAAAATGTTGTTAAGGCCCAGATTAAAAAGAAACAGAATAAGTAGCAACTGGGTTATAAATTGCATTAGGTGTTGGCAATGCTAAAACAAGTATTTCGTGATTTGTATCCACCAGCTGCTCTGCTGGAGAAGTTATACAACCTTGGCCATCTTATGGAAGACTGACTCAGATTTGTCTCAATGGTATTGGGTGGGCTGGCGTTAGGAATAGAATTGAAAACTATATGGTGTCCCCGAGCGATGCCAGTACTTAAACACTGAACTGCTAACGGAAAAGTTGGCAGTTCAAACTTACTCAGAGGTGCTTTAGAAATTAGGCCTGGAAATCTGTTTCTGAAAGGAAATAGGAAACTCTGTGGAGGAGTTCTGTCTGGCATTCACGGCATCACCATAATTCTGAACTGACTACCACCAACAAAACTTTATGTGTGTTGGTGTATGTACAAAGTATATCCATGTATAGAGAGAATAATCATCATGGGAAAAGTGTATCAAATATATCAAATAAACATATATTGACTTTGAGGAATGATCTGAGCAACCCATGGATTTGATGTAACAAGGTTTGAAAACTCAAACCAGGCTTAGAACCAAATCCTAGGATTAATGACTTATTCCTGGCAAGTACAGATAGATTTACTATAGAAAGTTCTTGGACTACAGAATATTAAAAAAATGTTTAATAACTACATTTTGATGTGCAGCTGACAAATTACTCAGCCATCCCTATGATGCAAAGACTTGGGAAAAAAATATAACCATAACTTAGTAATAGAGTACAGACCATGTCCCTGGGTATTATTTCTTTGAAACTTTCATTTAATTTTCCTGCTCTAGAATTTTGTAGAAATAGGAGATTAGAACTGTGCTGTAATATCCTTGTACTATGTTTTGGTACAAAACACAGATGTGCTGAATAATGGTTTATAACTGCTTTTTGGTTTTCTGCTTTTGAAGAAAGTGAGTCTAAACATCTAAAAAGTCAGTACCATTTACTTAGAGGTGTATTGAGTAAATATTGTGCTTTGAAATCCTGATGTTTTACTTAAGCATTCACACCTCACTTGCTGTTGAAAACAGCCACTTTGACTCAGTTTAATATGGTCATGTGTACACAAATCCACAGAACCTGAATTCGGCATATCTGGTTCAAATTCAAGTTCTGTTACTTATGAGTCAAGCCATTTAATGTCAGTGACCTTCTTGTCTCTCATCTATAAAACAAATAGATAAAAATTGTAACCCTTAAAAATCTCATGTTCAGCGAGCTCTGGTGGCCGACTGGCAAGAAGCTGCACTGCAATCTCAGAGGTACACGGTACGAATCCACCAGATGCTCTGCTGGAGAAGGAGGAACAATCTCCTCCTGTATCAGTCAGATCTGATTTGATGGTACACACAAAAATAATGAAATTAAAGAAAAAAAAATCTAGTGTTCATGTTGTCAAATCTCAGTTTTTATTATTCAGCCACAACACATAATGCAGCACTGGAACTTCTAAAATATTATACAAAATAGGTGACCCTGGAGAACATTATGCTGAATGAAATATCTCAGTCACAAAAAGACAAGTACTACATAATGCCACTGTTATAAAACAGGACTGACATGGGGGCTGAGGAGAAACTAAGAAAAGAAGGGATAAATAATGAACACTGCATTGAAATAGTTGAGGAAAAGAATTGTCTAAAAGAAATATACGATTGGGTATGACAACAGTCCAGAGTGAGAGGTGCATAACAGGGTGGACTCGGGGGTGGAGGGAGGGAGGAAACTGTGCAACAATGAAAGAATCTTTTTAAAAATCAAACTGAGGGGGAAGAAAATGTGCAACAATCAATGAATGGAAACCCAAGTTTTCTGTAAACTTTCATTAAAATATTAATACAAAAAAGTTAAAAAAGTAAAGAGAAAAACATATACACAGCCCTCAAAAATGGTTTTTGAAGTCCAAATATATAGTATATTATGCCATTTATTAAAATTCCTTTCCTCTTTAAAATACTATTCTTATATTCTTAATTTCCCTTAAGTGTCTCTCTTATATATTCCTCGATGAATCTTCCTTCTTCTGGTCCACTACTGTTTTTTCTACATGTACCTTTCCCCCTGAATTTTACCCCTTTGCATACTTGTATTAAATAGACATGGGAGATTTTGGATAAAAACTCCTAATTAAAAGGTCGGTAGATTGAACCCATGTAACAACTCCACGGAAGAAAGGCCTGGTATTATATTTCCATGAAGATTCTCTCTGTCACTGCCAGCAAATTTGAACCATATCATAGTTCACCTTCCATTATGGTCCTTGAAATCACAAGAGCTGGCCCCTATTTCTTTGCTAATAGATATTTATTTACCCACCATCAGAGGTGGAGATATTAATATATTTATAGACATATTGAAAGACATTCTTTTTCAAATGCCATGTTTCTTGGCAGGAGAACCAAGCCTGTGCTACATCCATGAGGGAGATGGAATATGTGAGCCCTTTGAAAAGGAAAACAGCCTCAAAGACTGTGGACTTTTTACTCCCAAAGGATATTTTGATCAGTGGGCTATCCAAGCTTACTCCTCTCATGAAGACAGAAAGAAATGTCCTGCTTCCTTGGTAACTGGAGAACCTCATTCTATGGTAAGTTAAACTAGATGAATAGTGTCAAACCGGGACAATATTAAAAATTGACTCCCACAGATGCTTAATGATCAACTACAAACATTGTAGAACTCAGGAAAAGATAATGACAAAACAAAAGTTTCTAGACTCTCAATTAACTCTTCTACCTCACAGTGGCAGAGAGAGAGAGAGAGAGAGAGAGAGAGAGAGAATATGAGAATGAGAATGAATTTACATCCAGGAATGTTTGGGTTTGCAATGGC